GTTATAGATTTTTTTGGTGCTATGAGAGGCATGAGACAGGGGGATCCACTTTCACCTTTTCTATTCACTATTGTAGTAGAGGTGTTTAGCAGATTGATCACAAAAGCGGATGAAGTGGGTCTCTTAAGTGGGTGGAGAGTGGGGAGAGATAGGGTGGTGGTATCTCATCTTCAATTTGCGGATGACATCATTATTTTTTGTGGGGGGGAGAGTGAGGAAAAGGCTAGGAATCTAAGGATGTTATTGAGCCTGTTTGAGAAGTTGACAAATCTGAAGGTTAGTCTCAATAAAATTGTAAATATGGGTTAGGAGGAGATTGAGGTGTGGGCAAGGGAACTCAGGTGTGTGTCTAGTGATTGGCCTATGAAATACTTAGGACTCCCTTTAGGTGCAAACCCTAGATCTTTGACTTTCTGGAGCCTAGTAGTGGAGAGATTTGAGAAGAAATTAGCGGCTTGGAAGAGGAATTATATATCTTTGGGTGGTAAGATAACCTTAATCAAATCTACCTTAGCTAACATTCCGGTCTACTACCTATCGGTGTTTAGCTTGCCTCAGGCGATTGTGAAGAAGCTCGAGAAAATTCTGCATGTTTTCTTGTGGGAACTGGGGGAGACAAAGAAGGATCATTTAATCAGATGGGAAATAGTTTGCAGAAGGAAGGAATATGGAGGGCTGGGGTTAGGGAGGTTGAAAGAAAAGAACTAGGCTCTTCTAGGAAAGTGGTTATGGTGATTCCCAAGAGAATCGGGTAGGTTATGGCATAAAGTGGTTGCTAGTATTCATGGGCTCTTAGAGAATGGGTGGTATGCTGGAACTTCTAGCAGGGCCTCTTGCTCTTTACCTTGGAAAGCGATTCAAAAATGTCTCCCAATTTTTCTCAATCACAACAAACTTGATATTAATTCAGGTAACAAAATCAAATTCTGGGAGGATCTTTGGGTGGGTGAAGTCCCTTTGGAAGGATTCTTTCCCTTTCTTGTTCACCTTATCTGCTCTCAAGGGCAAACCAATTTCTGAGTTTTTGCTTCCTTCTCCTTAAGTTAATGGGTTCGGGTGGAATCTAGGCTTTCGCAAAATGTGTGGGACACTGAACTAGGCCATGTTTCTAACCTACTACACATTCTTGAGGGGGTTTTCCTTGACCAAAATAAACAAGATGATAGAATTTGGACTCTACATCCTTCTGGGGTTTTCAGCTGTGCTTCCTTTTTCAAGTTATTGTCTTTGCCTTCTCAACCAGTTGTTCCCTTTCTAGTCAAAGAGATTTGGTGTCATCCAATTCCCCCCAAATTGATGCTGCTTGTGTGAATCTAACAGTGAATCTGCTCATCACATTTTCATTTCTTGTCCGTTTGCTTGTCGTATATGGGATTGGCTTTTCTCTCTTTTTGGGTGTAGGTGGAATACTCCAGACAGATTGGACAGGTTGCTTGATGGTTCTACTTTCAGCTGGCCAAAAAGGAGGGAAGACTAATGTGGAGGTGTACAAGAGCAGCAGTAATCTCGACCTTATGGGAGGAGAGAAACAAATGTATATTCGAGGAAAAAGAAAAGGAGCAAAGAAGGATTAATTGAAGGGATTATGGAAAAAGTAGCTTTCTGGACAAAGACACTGGAGTTGTTTTCAGCTTTCTCTATTGATGACATATTAAGGAACTGGAGAACAATTGCAGCCGCATTCAGCCAAGTGGAAGGCACTAAAGGCTTGGGAACACCCAGAGTTAGGATTCCTGAAATTAAACTTTGACAGAAGTAGTTTTGGGAATACGGGTCTGTCCGGAATTGGAGGGGTTTTAAGAAATGAAAGCGGAGTGATCATGGGTATGTACTCAGGCCCCATTTGAGTGTGTGATTCTGTAACAGCAGAACTGAATGCAGTGATTTACGGGATGCAGAAAACTTTGGAAATGGGGGTAAGAAAGCTAATAGTTGAAGGTGACTCCAAAATATTAATAAGTTGGCTAAAACAGAATGAGAAGGCTCCTTGGTTTTTTAGAAAAAATCAAACAATTCAAGAGGTTCTCAAGGGATATGCAGCTGATAATTCAATGGACTCCTAGGTCGGCAAATGGTCTAGCTGACCAACTAGCAAAGCAAGGGGTAAACAGGGAAGTGTGTTTCTGGGCTCAGTTGTAAGACTGAATATTAAATTGTCTTTGTATTTTCTTGGTGGTAACCGAGGCTGCCTTTGTCTTGTACATTTCTCTTTTTCTAAGTAATAAAATTTGATGTTGATGCTGATAAAAAAAGAAGAAAGAAGAAGATGATGATGGTGAAAATGATTAATGTGTATTTATTGGTAAAATTGAATTCTTCCATGCTTATCAGTTCAAGTTTTAAGTCTTTGAGGGTTCAAGGTGGTATACTGTTATGTTTGTGGCCTGAATTCTTTGTGGTGACCTGCTTTTTTTGATAAATGAGTGAAATTTTATTAAACCAGAAAATAAGAGTTACATGCAACCTGTGGAAAGGCATGAGATGCGACCTTTAAAGCTAATTACAGAATTAAAAGTACAAAAGAAATTACACCGAAGCCCAAAATAAAGTATCCTGGGAAACCCCTTGTTTTGCAAGTGAATCAGCCAATGAGTTTGCTGATCTGCCTACCCACTGAACTCTGATTGTCATATTCCTTGTTAACCATTTAACCTTTTTGAGAAGATCTCTAAAACCCCAAATCACAGTGTCTGGATCCTTCAGTCAACCCACTATCACCTGGGCATCCCCTTCAATAATCAGAAGCTCTATGCCTAGCTGATTTGCAAGCTGGATTCCTTGTACAGCAGCCAATAATTCGGCCCTTAAAGAGTCTCCCACACCCGCTGGACCTGAGCACAAAGATGTCACGTTACTATCTTTTTTTCTCAGCACTCCTCCTATGCCTGAAGGTCCTGGATTTCCTCGGCTACTTCCATCAAAGTTCAGCTTGATAAACTCCTCCCTTGGTGGCATCCATTCAACCCTACGTCTGTCCTTCCTGGTAGAAGTATTTGTGGTGACCCGCTCCGAAATAATTTGAGAAAAACCCAAAGGCAAAATTTCATAGTGGTTTGTGGTGGAAGCGTAGTATGGACCCAATCCATATTCAGCTTATAGGTCTGAACCGAATACGAAGAGTTATGTATTTTCGGGGGTTTTCTCTCTTGTATACTTGGTCATTTTTCTTGTGAGAGAAGATAGAGACATTGAGTGTATTTTGGGGTTTTTTCTGTGAGTGAGGTTGTGAGTGCACAACTCTGTACTTCTCCATTGCTGACTACATAGTAGATTTCTGCTCTTCCTTTGCCTGTGGACGTAGGCTATAAGCCGAACCACATAAATAGTGTATTCTCTGTGCTTGCTTCTCTTTATCTCTGTTATACTTTTATTTGGGTGCCATTCGAATCTATTTTCTTGGGTTTTTCCACAACATATACATGTTGATTGAACCCTAACAAATGAGAAAAATAATAAAAAGAAACTAGTATTTTGACTTAAACTAAATAATTAGTTTAATAATATCTATTTTATTATTATAATCTCAAAAGGTTAAGAATATAAAAGTATCCAAGAGCACCGTGTAAAAAATATCTTAGTGATTGTAGAGAACACTGATGTGGGCCCCACAGCAGTGGTCCCCACAGTGTTCGTAGGACAGCATGTGTAGTTATTTGTTTCACTTATAGTAGCGTCAGTTTGGGTCAGTTTGTTAATTCAGTTGTTATTTATTTCAGTTTTTTATTTACTTTATTTATCATGTAAGTACTAAGGGCAGATCTGTCCTTTCCTTTATGTACTAAACATAACCTATAAATACTAAGAGTGTGGCGGCGGCAGATGTGTTAGAATCTGTCCCTCCTTTCAACCCCTTGTTCTCTTGTTTCTCTTCTCTTCCTTCTCCTCTCTCTCACCTTTCTTCTGCTTTTGTAAACCTAAAATCTATTAGGATTCAAGACTTATTACAGTCTTGATCTTCTACTGTGATTAAGCAAGGTGACCCTCCATGAGCACCTATTGTCTAGGTGTCCTTGACAACTATGAATGGTGGTACCTTTTTGCTTTTTCTTTTCCCTAGGGATGGGAAAGGATGTAATCCTACCTTCTGTTCAGTACTAAACAAGCAAGGAAGAAAAAACTAATAAAAGACATGACTTTGCCCTTCAAGTACACCTTGTTTAGATGTTCTTCTTTGCCTATTATACCTGAATATTCCTTGTTTTCCTCTATGTTTATATATTTATTCTTTAAACCAATAGTCAAATTGCACAAGTTTATAAAGCTATCCACCAATGGCCCAATCAACTCCATTAATATTCTGAAGAGAGGGTGATTTTTCTTTTGTTATTGTTTTTACCTGTGCTTTTCTTGTATATTAAGGAGATTAGTGTAGTTCCTATTCTTTAGCACAAGAGATGGAGGTAGCCATTGTATATTGTTTACTCGTTAGTATAAACTACTACTAACAACAACAATGAGTAACAAAATAAAGTTGATGAGATGAATAATCCAATCTAATGATGCCATCAGTATTCTCCTGTCTTGTGCTATAAAGGTCAATTACAAAGGGAAAAAAGAAGAAAACACTGAAAAGATTCTATATATTGTTTCTATGAGTGGTCTGGATTTTTGATACAGAAGAGTCCAGTGATACTAGCAAATATTTGGTCCATTTTGTGAAATTCTTATTGTAGAATGTCAAGTCCCTTTTATTATTTTCTGGAGGTAGGGTGTAGGGGATAAAAGAAGGAATTGTCTGAAATAATAAATAGAAAAATAAGTTGTGGATAAAGAAGCTGGGATTGTAGAAGAAAAAGAAGATATTGGTGTATGGTGCAAAACTGTATTAACACAACCCACCCTCTATTCAAAGCCTTGACTTTCACTTGTGTTTCCTTGTTAATGCTATTGCAAATGAAGTGAACCGAACAATAATGCTTAAGGAAGCACCAATTTCTGTCCTGAAGGTGGAAATTATTTTGCTGCTAATTTAATATTTTGGGATTTTCTGGTGAAAATAGGTCTTTTTTGCTGTGGTGGGTGCAAATGGGAGCATATGGAATGTCATTAACACGGCCCCCAGTGTTTTCATGTTTGCGCTGCTCCAGATAACCATCCATCTTGCTGTGATCCTTGGAGTGGGAAAGTTATTACGGTTTGACCAGAAACTGTTGTTGTTGGCATCAAATGCCAATGTTGGAGGCCCTACAACAGCATGTGGGATGGCAACAGCGAAAGGATGGGGCTCTTTGGTTATTCCTGGGATACTTGCTGGCATATTTGGCATCGCAATCGCAACTTTTCTTGGTATCGGATTTGGAGTCATGGTCCTTAAAAGCATGTAAGCATTTCCTTCATTTTGTATGGGAAACTTCACTGTAACACAATGTTAGCCATTAAGTTAAGATGGCGGTGTTATCTGTCATACTCGTACACAAATTTGATATTGAAGTTAATAATTATAATTGAACCGCCTTGCTGTCATATAATCGCAATTTGCTTGGCAAGAAAGATTATACAACCTGTAAACAAGGTATTTGACTCCATATGTATCATGCCATGGGGATATGTTAAGCAGTTGGTCCCACGGTGATCTGGGCTTGGAACTAGCATTTTGTTCCATCAAGTGATGGTTTATATCAGAAAATAGCAATGTTGGACATTGATGCAGCAAGGCAAGGCTATGGAAAAAAAAAAAAAAAAGTCAAAAAACTGGTCTGCTCCATTTGAGCAGAGTGGTTCTTTTCAGACTGATACTTCCCTTGAACTCGGTTGGGTTGTCAAGGCTTTTGGTTATGAGAAGCTACCGTGTCGGTGGAGCTTCTCCTCAAACTAATGCTGTCCGTAGAGTCTCTGCATCGACTGAATCCCCACCTGAACAGAAAATTCTATTTCACCATAAAATGCCTCAGGTATAAAAATACACACACTGTGTTTGATTTTGTTGTGTTTTAGCTAAAACGCTTATGTCCACACGTCTACCACTAAAATTAAAAATTCAAGGTTAGACCATGCTTGATTCTGCTCCTGTTTGGTTCAATGAAATTGTCCTTGTGTTTTTATGAATTTATTGAATGAGCTTTAGCATTAGTTTCATAATGGGTGTTACAGTATTGACCGTGGAGAATGTGCCAAGGTTACCACCAAAATTGTCTCATCTGATGATGGAGAGGAGCCACCAACTCGGGGAGATACTCTCATTGTTCTCTCATCTATATTTTCCAAGAGAGGATCAAACAGAGGTATGGAGAGTTTTTAGGATATTGAGGAAGCTGGATCTCCTTTACATAAAGGATTAGGAGGTGGCAATAATGGCAATGACCCTTCTTCTCCCATCGGTTGCGATTGGCAGTCCAATTCCAACTTAACCAACGAGCAAAAGCATAGCCGAGGAAAGGTTCGATTCTCTTTCCAAGTCCTATCCTCACTTAATTTTGGAGAGACGAGATGAAAAGAAAATTTCACAGCCAGCCACTGGCAGCAATGGTAATGCACGCGCCATAGCTTTGGGTGTAGGGACCATTGGAGGAGGCGGAGATGGGGATTGGGGATGAAAAGAAAAAGGGCATTGTTCTCGCAGTTTTTCAAAGTGAACTACGAGCGTTGGAATCAGGTTACGTGGTCTTTTCTTTTTGACGCTCAACAATTAAAACCCTTCACCCTCATTGAGAGTTGAGACTGAAACAACCCCGTGGAATCAGTTGCGTCCATCACTGGCATAAGGCCATGATAGTATGATACGAAGCCAGGTTAAAGTTGTTTTCAGAGGAAAATTCTCGCCTGAGCTTGGGCAATAGGTACATTAGCTTTCACTTTAGAGTTTGGACCAAAGCGTCGTGATCTGTTCATGGTCATCTTACATATGCGCAGCCGTGCATTGGGAACGGAGATGTTCCCAATGTACGGTTGCAAGGGCTGAGTACAGGTTTTGTGAGGACGAAATCCGAACTCCCCCCCCCAAGTTGGTGGTTGCACACCTTTCAAGTTTCAACTAAAGAGTTTATATATACAAAATGCCAGCATGCGATCAGATATGAATACTGAATATAAAATTTTTCCATTTAAATGCTCATCGAACATGATAAAGATCAAATGGTTGAAAATGATCTGATGGTGCTGGTGTTTTAAGGTTCATTCATTATGCCAGATTCACAATGTAAAAGACTTGAACATATCTGAATTTTCAGAAATTGACTTAAATATGTCTGAGTTTTTAAATTAGATTTGAATATACCTTATACACTGATCCCACTGGACCTAAACATACCCTCCTTCAGTAAATCTTCACATGTGAATTCATTTTAAATTTTTAAAATTCTATTTTACCTTTATGGTGATATGTTTTGAAAATCTGAAGCCATAGTTGATTACAACGGAAAAGCTACCTGACTAAGTTTTTTATCATCCTCTAGAGTGAAATATGGTTGTTTTCATTGCATAGGTTCAGTGTATGCTTTGTAAACATGGATAATGAGAACATGGAAGTAGCTCTACAAAGAACTCAGAACTTTGTGCTTATAAACCTGGAGCTGTACAAGGTTTTGGAAGGAGGGCACAAACTGGAGAACTGGCGCAACACCTTTGCTAACCTGGCCCTCCCTCTGTTATGGTTTAAGGTTTCAATAGATACACCTTGGTACTTCAACCAATACGTCTTTTATTTTCTGTAGTTTTTATTTTTCAAATTTTACTTTTAAGCAATATATATATTATATATATATTAAAATTAAAAAAATAGTTCGTGAAAACATCTGTAAACAGGTGCATTGGCACCCGAAGATACGATATAATATGCCCCAAATCGGGTGTATCGTATCATTACTTTGAACCTTGGTTCTCCATGGCAAAGCCTGTCCTTCCCAAGGTGATCTAGCATTGTGAGATGTCATGGATTGTGTGAGACTGCTGGGTCTTAAAGGATAATTCTATCTTAAGGCTGTGTTTGGTTTGAAGGAAAAGTAGAGAAAGGAAGGGGATGTAGGGAGACAGCGTCTCCTGTGGCAGTAGTCTTCTATACGGTAGTTATGTTCTTCAGGCACAAAGATTGAATGGAATAAGGTAGTTGATTTGGCCAGAGAAGTCGCTATAGTGGAGGTGCCTCTTTACAGGCACCATTTGGATGCTGTCATGGTGTGTGAAAGAGTCACAAGGTACAGTGTTTTCAAACTGTCGTTGAACCAGATGGTTGGACTGTTTGACCTGGGAATTGTCCAGGAAATTTGTTCCATTTTACCCCAAATCTGGTCCTTGGCCAAAAACCATTGAATTGATAAGGGACCTGCTGACCCAGGTGGTTGATCCGTCGACCCATTTAACAGTTGTTGAATTTTTTATTTTAATAATTTTTTAGTTGGAATGGGCTGTCCATTCTAATAGGATGGTTGAACCATCGACCCGGAAACTGGTGGACAGAACGATTCTGATTTCGGATCAATTTTTAAAACCTTGACAAGGTATGCTTAAGTCTATTTTAAAATTTCAGCGTATGATTAAGTCAATTTCTGAAAATTTAGGGTATGTTTAAATCTTCTACTTTTTTTTCCTAGTAACCAATTAACTAGCATTCATCCAAGTTCCTCGAAAGAACTTGCCTTATTTTATTTTATTAATGATATAACTGATCTTTAATGTTTTTTTCTCCGACTCTACATTATTCCCTTATTCCCTCCCATATGGTAGGGGTGATCATTTCTAGCCTAGCTTGGGAATTTTTGGGCTTGGGTCTGGGCTTTTCCTAGCCTTAATAAGTAGTTTACCCGACAAATTACTTTGTATAAACTTTGCATTCTTCAGTTTTATTATGCACAATTATTTTCTTTTCTATTCCTACCCATCCCTATGCATCTTACCTACGGTCTCATTTGCTTGTTATGATTATATAGGGCATTCACCCTACTTCATTGCTTTTAACAGGACTGATGTCTCAACTGTTTCATCACTACTCCATGTTCAATGTACCTATGTGCGGTGTAAGAGCATAGACATGCAAATTGCCATAGACCTAGTTTAATCGACCTTGAACCAGAACTGAATTGAATCAGTCCGGTCCAATGACCAACCCAAGTTACTAAGTAGTGATTCAGAATAAATTATAGAAGCAGTATAGGAACAAGCTAGTGGTTGATAGATAGCCACCCTGGATTACATAGCATGATTCTAGAAGGCTCTCGTGTCCAACATGGGGTACCAATCCTCTCTCTCTTATTAATAGTAGGGTGGAAATGGGTTGATTTGGTTCATTTCCAATGCAGAACCTGAAGCCTACCCTATAGGGGTTGGTTCTAAGCTTTTGGAACAGAAACTTACCCCTTCAAGATCCTTGGCAAATTGTTCTTTCTTTAACTCTCCTCAAAAAAAAAGGAACATGTTCTTTCATAGTTTAAAACTTAAATTATCTTTATTCATTAAATTGAATAATTTAATATGTAGATTATCATAATATATATTGATATATAATTTGGAATTTATCATTATAATTTAAATTTTATAAATATTATGTTTTACATTACTTATACACATTAAAATATTAAGTTGAAGAAAAATTGCTTAAGTGACTATGGTGAAATGAGACCATGGTCTTTGTGACCATGAGTGCTTGGGTTGCAAATCTTCAAGGCATTTTGGGATTTTTTTCAAGACAAGTTCAATTATTAAGACGGTTCTTTGGGTCAGTTCAAGTAGGATAAATCCCTAAACCTTGGAACCGACTTGAATAGAGGTAGGTTTCAAGAATTTAGAATCAAACCCTCCCTAATAACACAGATTGGGTAGGGCCAGCTGGTTCGAGATTGGCTTCATTTGGTTCTGGATAAAATCTATTCATTTACTCACCCCTAAAAAACAGTCTCCCTCTAGGGGTCCATAAGCCATTTTCCTCATACCTTGGGTAATTATCGACCATCAATGGTCCATGCCCCAACACTTGGATGCAAGGTTTTAAAAACCGACCCAGAAACTGAACCGTTCTAACTACCAGTTTTCAGGTCAGTGATTCAACTGTCTGGGTCGAACGGTTCGGATGGTTTGCATATTAGGGCAATATATGCAAACCTCATAAGAGATGCCGGCTGAGAGCAAAAAGAGAACTGTTGCTGAGGTAGAAAAAAAGAAAGAAGAAGAAGGAAGGAGAGAAGGAGGGAAGAAGAAGGAAGAGGATGAGGATGATTGGATGCTCACTGGCTATGATAGCAGCGACGGCGATGGCGAGGTGGTGGCAACAAATACAGATCTAAGATCTGAGTTCTTGGATCTCTGAGTTCCCAAATCTGATATCTGAGTTCATGTCTTCTTCTTGGATCTCAAATCTGAGATCTGGGAAGATCTGAGTTCGTGTCTTCTTCTTCTTCTTCTTCTTCTTCGTGCTAGATCTCATGTCTGAGTTCGTGTCTGATCTCAGATCTGAATCATCGAATTCTCTCTGTAACTTTATATTGCGAACTGCTGGCCGGGTCGAACGAGTCGACGGTTGTAACGCCCAGGTCAACGGTTTTCTGACAAAGTCAACGGGTTTTGACCCAATAACAGGTTAAGGATAAAACAGAATCGATTATCCGGACGATTTCCAGGCCAAACGGTCCAATCGTCCGGGTCAACGATGGTTCAAAAACATTGCTTGGATGTGACGGTCTTGGATTGGCATGACTTGACCTAATCACCTATACCAGAACATACCCCAATTTTAGGGTCCCGTTTTTTCTGCGTCTTTTAAAAATTTCCCCACAGTGGTCATTTGGGCAATTGCCGCAATTCTGGTTTCAAATGAATGATCCCTACTAGCCTAAAATTCAGGAACTTGCCAACAGCCCCTAAAATTTAGGAACAGATATATTAAGGGTTTTATAAAATTGAGATCCTTTCCATTATCAAGGGCAAAAACCGATCCAAGTTGTGACAACATTTGACATCACCAGCCAACATAATCAACTGATACTGATACCACTCAACGTACGGTATTCCATTTTTTTTTTTATTCTTTTTTAAGCCACAACGACATTCTTATGCACTCAATAATATACCATTGCATTCTATCTATCAATAAATCCACCACGCCAACGGGCCAGTTTTTCTATTATTTTTTGGATAAAGAAAACAAAAAATAAAATAAAATAAGGGCAACTGATGAACAAATGATTTATTTATATAAGGTGGATGTCAGTTCGGAATTGATGCTAAATTATAAACGAGCATAAATGTATAAAGTGAGAGTATTTGATATTTTAAATTTTTATAAATCTACAGTGGAATTCAGAATCAATGGGCCTGTCCTTATACACAACATGCTGACTACGGAACATGATATATAATGCTTTTGCCTTGGCATACACGCCTACAAAGACATGCACTAAGATGAACCCATCGATGTATCTAAAACCTGAGGAGCTATTTATATGCCCAACAAGTAATAATCCAAGCCTCCACCAACTAGTCGGGCTCCATGAAGAACGATAGGTTATACTTCTACTATCACACAACTCACAAGATAGAGAGAGAGAATAATAATTCAAGCTCAAATTAATGGAGCCCATATAATTCACATTACACTTCTCACTCCTCATTTCTGCCCAAAGAATATGCCTCCATTGTGCCAGCGTGGCGAGTTGACATTTATTCTATACCATCGACGACGCATCACATACAAACATCCAAACGTGCAACAGGATTTTAAAGGACAGAAGCAGTGTAGATGGGCATGAAGCATGCTGTTATTGTCTCTCATACCTTTCATTCTCTAATAAATAATGATTTGATTTAATTTAATGGAAATTTCTACTAAGACCACAAAGCAAGCATATAAGCTCGTCTCAAGTTCCAATAACACATCCTTGAGTTTGAGCACAACATTAATAGCAGCACCCTTTAGAATCTGTTTGGTCATGGATTCATCAGGATCTACAGTAGTAGTTAAACCATCTCCTCCACATTCTTCTTCTTCTCTGTTCAATGCAAAGAAGGGTCTTACACTTAGAGCACTCAAGGTGCTGATCCTGGTGCTATTTCTTGGGTGGCTCATGCTTTGGATTGTTTTGCCAACCAACATCTATAAGAGTCAATGGACACCTCAACTTAAGGCCAAGGCCAACTCCACTTATTTTGGAGGGCAAGGTTAATCATTTTGCTCTTTTCTCGTTTGCTTTGAGGATCCAAAATTAACTTGGTTTTATTAATTCTAATTTTCTCTGTTACAGGCACAAATCTTTTGGTTTTCACGTTTCCCATTATGCTCATTGCTGTGCTTGGATGTGTCTATCTCCATTTCCTTAAGAAATCTGATAATTATTATAACAAGAGGTACGTATATTAATTAGATGCAATGAGATGATCAGTTGCTTATTTTCTTTTAGTCTTTGGTAATCTCTACAAAAGATCGACTAGCTAGCTAATTAACACAAACTTTGTTGAATTGGTTCGATGGCAGTTGGTCTGCAAGCCACGGCCTCTTCTCGTGGAAACGACCATTTCTTGTGAAGCCCCCCTTGGGAATCGTCACTGCAATGGAGCTGGCCTTCTCCGCCATGTTTATTGCGCTAATAATCTGGTCTCTGGCCATTTACTTACATATCAGCTTCGGGCACCTCCATATGCATAAGACTGGGGAGAAAGTGTAAGTAGAAATATATATGTTGAATATCTTAATTAATTATTTACTAGCTTACAGTTATGAGATGGATGGATGGATGGACTTTGGCAGGTGGCAAGCTAAGTTCAGAAGTGTATCTCTTAGACTTGGGTACGTGGGAAACATTTGTTTGGCACTCCTTTTCTTTCCTGTAACTCGAGCATCATCCATCTTGCCTCTACTTGGACTGACTTCCGAGTCCAGCATCAAGTACCATATCTGGCTTGGCCATCTCTCTATGATCCTTTTTACCGCACATAGTATAGGTTTCATCATCTACTGGGTTATAACAAACCAGATGTCTGAGGTACTCTCTTTAATTTTGAAGTGAAGAACATCAACAGTCTTTAGTAATCGTTTTGCTGTCATGAATCATGATGATTGCTGTTGACAAAAGACTTAGATTTCTATTATGTATTTATGTTGTTCTGTGGCTGGAATGTTTGTAGTGCACCTCTTCAGTGAAACAAGCTGCAATTTGGAAAACTTTGGCTGTTTGGAAAAAACAGCCAAACTAGCTAGGCTGTCAGGGAGCTTTTCTTTTTCTTTCTTTCTGTCCAACCAAAAATACAAATAAGTACCTGAGTTGGATTGGATAGCGTGTGATGCAGTGATGTACAGTATGCTGAAAAGCAGCCTAAGCTGTTTTTGCCCAAACAAGAAACAACCAATGCTTTTTCCAATTAGCAGTCACAATTAGGGGTAGACAATAACCGAGCTTTCCGGGAGTAATTCAATAGTTTGGTTCATAGTGAAGCTTGTGCGCCTAATCAGGCTTATGTTATATATAATGTTTTTAATTTTTTATATGTATAACAATAAATTTGTATTTGTGTAATAAAAAATAACTCCTAAGCCTAATTGAGCTTATATTAATTGTATATAATATTTTAATTTTTTTATATGCATAATATTCAATATTTTATTGTATGAAGTTTAACCTAAAATGCATGCAGATGCTAGAATGGAGTAGTACTTGGGTGTCTAATATTGCTGGAGAGATTGCTTTCGTAATTGCATTGGCAATGTGGGCAACCAGCATTCCCCGCATAAGGAGAAAGATGTACGAGATGTTCTTGTACGCCCATCACCTATACACACTATATCTCTTCTTCTATGTCTTGCATGTGGGAATCCCTTACTTCTGCACAATCCTTCCTGGTGTCTATCTTTTCTTAATTGATCGATATTTGCGATTCTTACAATCACGACGAAGAGTTCGGCTTGTTTCTGCACGTCTTCTACCTTGTGAAGCCATTGAATTGAACTTCTCCAAGAATCCAGGTGATATTTTAATTATTTTAAGGGTATCGTCATGCGACGTTCATCCATCCATTTTGAATTCCATGCATTCATCTTAATTATTTTAAGGGTATCCTCCCATTAATGCCAGAATTAAGCTACACTCCAACTAGTATCGTGTTCATCAACGTCCCATCCATTTCTAAGCTTCAGTGGCATCCTTTCACCGTCATCTCTAATTCAAACATGGAGCCTGAGAAGCTAAGCATCCTCGTCAAAGGTGTTGGAGGCTGGTCCCAGGAACTTTATCAAACTCTTTCTTCCCCTTCCTCTCTAGACCAACTGGAAGTCTCCATGGAAGGACCCTATGGGCCTGCTTCATCTCACTTTCTAAGGTCTGTATTAGAATCAAGGAATTATAAAAATTTTATCAAACTCTTTCTTCCCCTCTCTCTCTCTCTAAGCTTCGATTCTATCTCAGGCATGAGTTGGTTGTGATGGTGAGTGGAGGAAGCGGCATTACTCCGTTCATCTCTATAATTCGAGAGATAATATTTAGAAGTACCATGATTGATTGCCAGCAGATTATTCCACGGATGCTCCTCATATGCGCCTTCAAGAACTCTTCTGATCTCACCATGCTAAACCTTCTCATCCCAATCTTTGGTGCCCCTTCTGATACCTCACGTATACAGCTTCAGATAGAGGCCTATGTCACCAGAGAGAAAGAGCCGTCCAACACTTGCGAAAACCAGCAGAAGCTCATCCGGACCATTTGGTTCAAGCCCAATTCATCAGATGCACCCATGTCTTCAATTCTAGGACCAAACACTTGGCTCTGGCTTGGCGCTATAATCTCATCTTCTTTTGTGATGTTTCTCCTTTTCTTGGGTTTACTTACCCGTTACTACATTTATCCAATCGATCACAATACTGACGTTATTTACCATTTTTCTGGGAGAGCTCTTTGGGACATGTTCTTTATATGTATCTGCATTGTGGTAGTGGCCAGTGCCGTGGTTCTCTGGCAAAAGCATGAGAATGCCAAGGAAGGGAGACAAATACAAAATGTGAATGTGCCAACACCAATGACATCTCCAGGGTTCCATGATGACTCTAATCGAGAGCTTGAGAGTCTCCCCCACCAGTCCCTTCTTCCTGCTACCAAGGTGCACCTAGGAGCAAGACCTGATCTCAAGAGTAAGCTCCCTCCTCTTCCTCTTAACACTAAAGATTATTTGACTTCTTAGATGTAATAATCACAATTGATTTGTTTTGTTTTTATCCCTTACAGATATACTATTTGAGCGTAAAGAATCAAGTGTTGGAGTTCTAGTTTGTGGCCCAAAGAAGATGAGACATGAGGTTGCAAAAATCTGTTCATGTGGTTTGGTGGAGAACCTACATTTTGAGTCCATTAGCTTTAACTGGTGATGTATATGCCATATGGCTCCAATTAAAGCATAATGAAGCTTTGTTTCCGTGTATGTATAGCTTTGTGAATCCGCAATAAAATGTTACCCACCATATGTCACATTAGTAAGACTAGTTCTTTATACCATATAATGATGATACTTCCTCACTTCACGTCCAAGTCATTAAAGTTAAATAAGAACATTTCATAAAATTAGGGTGGATTTGAAACGAGTGGACCTGAATACCTGACTATTTTATTTGAGTTCGGTTTCGTACAAAAACATGGGTCTCAAACTTGATTAGAGCTAGCTAAAGGTTATGGGCTCCAATTTGGTTCTACTCAAAAGCTCATATACTCAAACTCAAACTCAAAAGTGGGCCAAGCTTCATATAAAAAATTATAATTATGTATATAAAATTTATTTATTGTTATGCATATAAAATATTAAAAATATTATATATATCATATCAACTCAATTACGCTTGTGAGCTTCATTGGGTTCGACCTTGACTCGTCAGTTTAGATCGAGTTGAGTATATAATAATTATAATATCAATGTTTACAAAAGGTGGCCTGGTCATTCAAATATTTTCATTTTTAAAAATTAATCACTTAATTAATACATTTAATATAGCAAAAATGTCAAATTTAAACATATTTTATCATTTTACCCTTCTATCTTTATAAAGTAATAAAATAACGTAACATTGGTTGTATCCATGTATATATACGAGTGTAAGTGCATGTGTAGAAATATTAATCATATATCTACCATTTCCTTACAACCCAAGAAAAAAAAAAACCTGCTTTTGTTTTGAACTACAATCTATTTGATACATATATTGTTATTTATATAAGTTGACTGTATTAGAGAAACTACAATTGGAAAATGAGGTACATAAGTAAGCCATAAGGCCCCCACATAGATCCTAGTGTGGTCTCCACCTGAAAAGCTACAACTTTTCAGTCCTATGCATGTTTAAGGGTGCAAGTTGGATGGGTTGGTCCAGGTTTAAGTTCAACTGAGGCCCAACCCTAAGAATTGTGCTTAAAGCCTGATCCTAAACTCAAGCCTGATCTGTTCTACCTGAGTTCAGTCTACACTAAAATTTGATGCCCTTGAGTTGGGCTCAGGCCTGGGCCGAATTCAGGTTAGTCAATCAGTCCACACTAGTGTGCTTGGTTTGAAGGAAAAAAGTAGGGAAAAGGAGGGAAAGGGAGGAAAACCTTTACAAACCTTCTATACCCGAAAATCGAGAAAGCCTAAACTTTGGGCTTGGACCTAGCTTAAGGACTAAAAATCCAAGCCAACCCATGTAAAATTGTGGGCGGGGTTGGTCCAAGCATGGTTTGGGCCTGCCCAAGTTGTATCCTTATACATGTTGGCACTACTATGATACATGGACACCATATGTGAGCTCACATTAAGGCCTTGTTCGCTTTTCAGGAAGTTACTTATTAGGGTAAATGCATTTACCTGGGTAAGTGCATTTACCCATGTTCTTTCATTTTCTAGGTAAATAAGACAATTATCAATTCATCGATAAAAACACATTATTAAAAGGGGCAGTTTTGTCCTATCTAAGTATTGGCAACTTCCCCCTAAGTCGGAAAGTTACTTGGCCACCTAGGAAATGGGTATCACTTTTCTGTGAACCCCATATAAATCTGAAAAAAGAGCATGGATTTTTTATCAATGGAAACAAAATTTTCATTGACCAACTTTTCCCTCTCTCAAAATCCAAAAAAAAAAAAACGAACAGACCCTAACTGCGATCATGATCACAAAATAGCTAGTGAAATTCCAATATGCCAGTATTTGCAACAAATTCAATGCATCACATCAATTAATTTTTTATCTCATACACTGACATGTTCTAATTTCATCAGGGGTCGCTATGAAGTTCTACGGCCTTGGTCGCAGGTAATGTTTTCTCACCATATGCTATTCTTACAACCAATTTTTGTCATATTGTGACCCCCACTTGTTGGACCAACCCATGTTTAAGCCCTATTCTATTCTATGGTCCATTATGTAGGGCTTAATGTTGGCTCCAATATGCGGGTCGCAAATATGGGTTTCACTGCTCTATTTCTATATATTGGAAACTTAGATGCAAGCAGGCCTCCATCCCACTGTCTACTAGCGGTGCATACATAGATAAATGAGCTACAAAACTACGTTATGAAAGAAGGGTCACGAAGAGAATTGAATGAAAGACCCAATGCTTTGGTTCGAGCAGATGGCCTAGTCATGACTAGACCTGCGCCCTCTTGGTTGAGTTTTAACATGAATGCGGCAGTGTTTCCATATATGGGCAAGGGGTGCATAATTGGTCGGTTCGGTTCGATTTGATTAAAAGCAAAGACCTAACCTATTATTCGGTTTGATCATCTCTCCCAACTAAACCCGACTACAATTTAAAATTGAACTGACCCTAACCGCATTCAGTTTGGTTGGATTCGGTTTTAATATTTAATGAACAATTAGCTATTAATCTTTAGTCTAGGTTATAATAAACAATTAATACAACTAGTCATTTAATGAACAATTGAATGACTAATTATTAAAGCAACTAGTCTCTAGGCTATTTTTAACAAACAATTAATGAATAATTAATAATTAGTCTAGATTTTAATACTCTAATTGTTTAGAGTCTCTAGCCTATTTAATTAATTATTATTAATTAAAAGCTGGAATAGGCCCAACTTCCCATAGCACATTGGGAATCGCGAATTAATGATTACTCATTGAAAAAGATAATAATTATTAATTAATAAGTATAAAGTATTGAATAGAATATTATATATTTAATATAGATAATTAAATACAACTACTAATTCGATTTTCTGTTCCATTTGGTTCGGTTCGATTTTCGGTTTATCAGCCGAATTTGAACACCCCTAATAGGGGAAAAGCGAAAATACCTCTGCTGATTAGATACGATGGAGGAGACCATATTATGTGCAGATCCAGTCAAACCCATTACTACCATTGATATTGAAGCATAAACAATGGCCTTGCTTGAGGATTTGCACATAATAGTTGGGTCTCCAGAGGTATCCCAAAGTCGGGTTAACTCTCAAAAGAATGCTAGAAATATAAGGGAGAGTTTCAGGTCAGAACCTAGCTCGAACTCCGGACTAAAAAGAAGTGAGTAGCAACAATAACCTTTGCAGAAAAATACCAATGGTTAGGATCGTATCCAATATTTGTTAATGACCTTTCTTATTAGGGAAAATTTTTTAAACTATCCTTATGGTTTAATTAATTGACTAATTCATCCATATTGTTTGCATATTGTCTTAAAGTACCTCTATTGTTTTTGACAATTGTCTAAAACTTCCCCTATTGTTAACTTTTCATCACAAATCGTTCACAAGTGATATCACATGACTAATATATTTTTCAAAAATCCTTAAAATACCCTTTTGTCACAAAGAACTCAGGGCACCGAGACCAAGAGCGGAAACTTTGCTGTAGAGTTTCAAAACCAAAGTGCAACAATACCAAATTGTTCATTACATGGTTTGGTGCGGCTGCAGAAATTAAGAATTCTGCCTAAAAGTAGAGTTCCCATGAAGTTCGAAGATCTGTTGGAAGACCAAGGAATTCCATAGGAGATCGAACCTGTTCAAATGCTGCAAAGTGACTCATAGTGATTAGCAGATATCAATTGGTATTTGATATGGTTTCGAGTTGGGACATGCCAGTCAATATGCTTGGCTAGTACTACTCAAGCTCGAAAAGCGAGAAATTATCTCCTCCTCCTCCAATACCACTCCTATTATAAAAACAGGGATAGAGACATCAAGCAATACGTAGGGGTGCAAATGGATCAGATTCTGATCCGATCCGATCCTATTTTGTCATATTCGGATATCCTCTATTTGGATTTTCAGATTGGATAAAAAAATAGGATCCAATCAGAATTCAGACTGGATTCAGGTTGCCCCTATCCAATCCAAGATCTGATATATATATATATATATATATATATATATATGTGTGTGTGTGTGTGTGTGTATAAAACATATATGTTATTTATTTATAAATATATTATTTATATTTCATTTTTATAAATTTATTATATTGATTATTTTTTATAAAAAATATGTATATATGTGATGAAAATAGTTGAAAAGATATTTATATTTTTTGGTCTTATTTTTTAATTATTATATTTTATTTATTTTTTGATAATCTATTAATTTTTTAAGAAATTTAAATCAGATTAAATCATTTCTAAAAATCCGACTTCTTCATTGGATTTGAATTCGAATCCATACTTATGAGATCTGATTGGATCAGATTGGCTATTAACGGTCAGACCGGATTTGGATATACCCTAATTCTAATATGATCTTATTTGTTTGCATCCCTAGCAGTACGAGCATCTAACCTGATACAATTGATCAAGTAAAGGCACTAAAATGGCTTATACTTACAAGTTTGAAATTCAAATAATAGATATCTTTCACATGGAATAAGTTTGCATATACCTTCTCAGACATAACCTTGCATACTTTAAGGTGGTAGCCAAAGCTATAGGAATACCAATAACGGTGCTTTATTACCAGATTCTTTGGTCTCACTGGGTTGTCCATTTCCTGTTGGTCTATAACATGACAAATGGTCAATGGTGAAGATGGAGAAGACTATATAGTCCACTGATTCCTCACTATTTGATTGGTCATAAGAAGCAGAAACTTACATGGAAGATCTCAAGCTGGTCCTCTATGCTCTCGAGTGTAGTTTTAACTACATTAAAGCTCTTCATTTTTGCAATCGCTACCTCGTCGAGTGGAAATGTTTCAAGAACACGAACCCGTTCCAATCGTCTCTCCCCATCATTATATCATGTGAATGCCATCGCTGAGCTTATCGTGCAGGTCCTAAATCTTCCCTAGTAATTGCTTTGATCGGTCTCCATTTTTTTATTTCATGAGGAAGCAAGAAAAAAAATAAGAATAGTGTTTGGAACTTTCTTAAGATCTCCTCTTTGAAAAGAAGAAATGACGAAAAGAATTTGGAGCCAATAAATTTTAGGGACACCAAGATAAGAATGTAGAAGAGAGAAAAATAAAAAATAAAAGAATTCTTTGTATCGCTTGACTTGTCGACCAGGCTGAGATGGGTACAATATATATACACAAAGAATAAAAATAATAAAATAAACTAAGAATAGAATAGGCAGTTGCCTATGTACAAAGATTGCAAATTAATTCTCTTCTAATTTACTAGTTGCCAAATCTGTATGAGAGCCTTCATTAGTAACTGCTATTCTTGAAGGAGATCTTTCATTGGCAACTGCTAAAGATCCTTTATTGGTAGCTGCTAAGCTGGATTGAGAGTCTCCATTGGTAACTGCCAGACTTGTGGAGTTACCTTTTAGAGAAGTTTCCTTAATATGCCCCCTCAAGTGAAACTGGGCTGGAAGCACATGAAGCTTGGACCGGAGAAAATCAAATCGAGCTAGAGCAAGAGGTTTGATAAAGATGTCGGTCAGCTGATCATTAGTAGAAATATATCGGATGTCTATATTTTTACGGAGAATATGATCACGCAAAAAATGAAAGTCCACTTTGATGTGTTTGGTATGAGCATGGAACACCAGATGCGCTGCCAGATACGTGGTGCCAATATTATCACAGTAAAGAATAGGCGGAACAGACTGACGAATACCCAAATCCCGTAGTAGAGACTACAACCATAGTAATTCGGTGGTGGTGTTAGCTAATGAGCAAAATTCGGCTTCAATGCTAGAATAGGCAATGGTGGGCTATTTCTTCGCACTCCAAGAGATTAAATGAGACCCAAGAAAAATACCATAGCCGCTAGTGAACCGGCGGTTACTAGGGCAACTGGCCCAATCAACATATGAAAAGCAACTAAATACCTAGGAGGATTAGATGCAAAAAATAGCTCATACTCAATTGTGCCTCTGGTCATGTGAGTGTAACATATTGCAGGGCCCTAACAATGTTGTGATACTGAGTAGGATCAGGAAGAGGGTCTCCCTGAAATTTAGACAATCTGGACGTGGGAGCTATAGGCGTGGTCAAGGGTTTAGAGGCTTGCAGATTAGTTTTCTGTAAGAGGTCCAAAATGTAATGCCTCTAAGAAAGAAACAGCCTAGTCTTGTCTCAATGAGCTTCTACTCTAAGAAAATAGTGTAGAGATCCAAGGTTCTTAAGAGAGAAAATCCAAGACGGATCCAAAATGAGTTGAGAAACATGAGCAGCAGAAGAACCAGTAACAATAATATCATCAATATAAACCAAAATATATAGAGAAATATTATTTTTGGTGTAAATGAAGAGAGAGGGATCACACTGAGAGCTTCTGAAGCCAAGATCATGACGTCTGCTACAGAGTTAAGAGAACCAAGCCCCTTGATGAAGACCATAGAGAACTTTTTTTAAGCTTGCAGACATAATCTGGACATGTCTGATCCTCGAAACCTCGGGGATATTTCATATAAATATTTTCTTGAATAAATCCATTCAAGAAGGCATTGTGAACATCTAGCTGCTTAATGTCCCATCCTTGTGAGGTGGCCAAAGATAAAACCGTACGAACAGTGGCTAGCTTAACAACAGAGCTAAAAGTGTTTGTGAAGTCGACACCGGGAACTTGAGAGAAACCCTAAGCTATTAGTCTGGCTTTGTATCGTTCCACAGAACCATTAAGGTTTTCTCTTAATTTTGTAAACCCACTTAGAGCCAACAACATTCATAGACGAATCATAAGGAACAAGCTGCCACGTACCATTCTATATGAGAGCATGAAATTCAGATGACATAGTAGTGCACCAGTGAGCAAACTTGGACGCCTAAGAGTAGGAATTTGGTTCTACACCACTCTAACTACCATCTGTAAGTAGTCCTTCAGGTAAAGGATACCTTGTGGTAGTTTGTGTA